CAATAGAGATGTCGAGGAGACCATAAACGTAAGAAGCCTGGAAGAGAGTTCATGCCTTGAAATGTATATTCTGAGTCATTAGCATACAGATATTAAAGAACACTCAGAATAGATTCAATCAGCCAGAGGACATGAACAAATATGAGGATCGAAGAGACTAAGACTTGGAATTGAAGCCTAAAGAACACCAACATTCAGGAGGTAGGTAGAGGCAGAGAAATCTGTGAAGAAGAGAGGAAGAAGGAGACAGAAAATCTGAAGGTAAATCAGGAGGGCATATGTCCCTGAAACCAAGTAAAGTGAGATAGTATTGAACTCCTGTGAGAGATCAAGAAAAATAAGGTTTAAAAATGTTTGTTCATTGTTTGTAGCCCTAAGATGCCTGCTGGTGACCTGGATGAGGAGAGTTTCTGCAACACTGTGGGGGGGAGGGGAAGGGATGCTAGCCTGCTGAATTAACTGAAAGTGTAAATGTGGAGGCGGTCTATGGACAGCCCTTGAAACAGTTGATTGTAAATGGAAGGAGAAAAGGCAGGATTTGGCCAGCCATGGTGGTTTACACTTGTAATCCTAGCAGTTACACCTGTAATCCTAGCAATTTGGGAGGCCAAGGCAGGTGGATCACCTGAAGTCAGGAATTCAAAACCAGCCAGGTCAATATGAAAACCCCATCTCTACTAAAAATACAAAAAAAAAAAAAAAATAGCTGGGTGTGGTGGTGGACACCTATAATCCTAGCTACTTGGGAGTCTGAGGCAGGAGAATCGCTTGAACCTGGGAGGTGGAGGTTGCAGTGAGCCAAGACCATGCCACTTCACTCCAGCCTGGGTGAAAGAGCAAAACTTCATTTCAAAAAGAAAAGAAAGAGCAAGAAAGAAAAAAAAGGCAGGATTTGGAGGGGGATGTGTGGGGTTGAGATGGGCACTTCATCGCAAAGAACAGAGAAGTTGAAGGTCCAGGGAGAGGGCAGATGGAGCTCTGGTCTGAGCTTTCATCATCAGAGCTGACCCAATGGAGAGGAAGACCTGGTATATCAGTCAGCGTCCTTTGGTTGAAACACACAGAGATGGCAACTGATTTAAGCATAAAAGGGAATGTATTGAAAAACTATGGGGAAAGTTCACAGAATCAAAAAGAAGAGTGGAGAAGAAGACTCAGCAAAGGACAAAATTTGGTCATGCTGAGAATATGAATAGCAAAAAACAATTTTACAAACAGGCCAGGGGACCATCACTGGAATTGGTAGGCTCCACCTGTTTTAGTGTTTTTGTCACTTTTTTCATCATTGAAATTCCAATCAACTTATCTTAGGCCATGTACCCCTTGCTTGGGAGTTGAGGGGAGGTGCAGAGTTCCTTGATATCGCACCAGGATATGTTGCATGGGGGCAGGTAATTCCTGGAAAAAGAAGTCAGAGTGCTATTTTTAAAGGATGTGGAGTGGATACCGGACCCCCAGAAAGCAGCACAACCAGAACAGGACTGCAAAAATCAGAAACTGGAGCTTTTACTCTGAGAAAGTCAAAGCAAGGACACTAACCTTGTTTTCAGATACCCTTTCAGCACTTACTCATTCGTGTTTTCATTCAGTTAGTATACCACGACCCAGAGTGGAGGGAAGTTAACATCCTATGGGGCAACCCTCAGCCATTAAAAGACAGGAGCCAGGGTACAGATGCCCCTTTACCCTCAAGTGATCTGGAGACGCATTTCCTCTGGTTTCTCAGATGATTCTGTGGGACAGAACAGCCCTTCACCAATGGAGGTGGCCAACTTGACAAGGCCTCCTTCCACGGGATTTCCCTCCTGCTTTGCTGTGCTCCCCCAGCCTTACTCCAGCTTTCTGGCGTCACACTTTCCAGTCAAGTACTGTCACATAGACCTCTGCCTTGACTTCTGCTTTCTGGAAACACAGACTAGGGTAAAGGCAAGACGGCTCAGGAGTGAGAGGGTAGGGTGCGGGAACAGGTGATAGCATGTAGTAGAAGACCTGGCTGAGAAGATGAGACTTGAGCCAACACTTCAGGGAGGTCAGAAAGTGAGCCAAGGGAATGTCTTGGGAAAAACCTTTCCAGCAGAGGGAACAGGCAGAATAAGTCCCTAAGTAGGTCCATGCCTGTGTGTTTGGGGAAAAAAGTACGAAAAGACGTCAGTAACGTGGCTGCACCACATCACATTTGGCCTTCCAGGGCTTGGCTTTTACAAAAGAAAAAGGGGAGCCCAAGAATGGCAGGATCTGACTTGGGTTAAAAGGATTGCCCTGGCTGCAGGGCTGAGAAAAGATCTGTGTGGGGAATAGGAAACATCCTCCCCCGTGGGATCTCACTTGGGAGAACCAGAACTGGAATTAGAAAGTGAAAAAAAATGCAAGCCCTTTTGAGGGAGGCTTAAAAGAAAAAAAGTCTTCTTTAAAAGGCAGAACTATCCAAAGATGGCACAGGCTGCCTTGGGTGGTAATGCTCTCCTGCCACTAGGGGCGGTCAATACAGACTGGCAAAAGTCATTGGAAAGTGTGTAAAATGCTTTATATGAGCTAATACAGGGTGGCACAAAGACAGACTTCAGGATGCTTCATACCGTAAGAGCATCTAAGATCTAGAGACCCAGAGAGAATAATGTTCCCCCAAAAGTCCCAGCAGAACCCGATTAAACTCAAACAAGCTCCCTATGCAGGGTTCAGGATCCTTCACATGACCCCAATGCTATCATCTCAAAACAAATCAAAAACAAAAACAAGAACAAAAACAAAACGCTGTTTCTACTTCAAGTGACTTAATTTAAACTGATTTGCCTTGGGATATGTAAGTGCAAGACCTAGAAAGAATAAGTGGTGGAATGAGAAGGAGACTCCAAATATTGTCACAAGCATAATATGCTAGAAAGGTGAGGATCTGGCTGGAGATGGCTCAGCTTATTGGTTCATTTATTCATTCAACACATTTTTATTGAACATTTGTTATGCATTCAATAGAGGTGAATAGAATCTATGGAGTCTATGCTTTTTGGAACTTACAGCCTAGCAGGGATAAGTAATTATAACAAGTTGTATGAGTGTCCCAGCAAGGGTGGCAGAGCTCAGTGACAAAGACTCTCAGAGCAGAACACAGCCATTGTAGCAGCAAACGTGCAGGAGCAATGGAGCGTGAGGAAGGGTGAAATCTCCAGAGCACAGGTTGGGGAGTGTGTAGAGCAGCTAGACAGAGGGAAGCTGAGCCCCAGTCCTAAAGAATCCAGGACAAGTTATCAAGGAACCTCTCAAGGCTGTTTTCATAAAACCAGATGTAAAAGAAAGTCTATCCGTCTGTTAGAAGGCATCACACCAGGCAGCACAGGTCGGTCACCCGGATGTCTTATTATAACGCAGATGCCAAGGGCCAATTGCCCCCATATTTTGATCCCATTGGTCTGGGGTAGAGGTTAAGTACTTACATTTCTTTAAAATCTCTCCAGAATTTCTAAAGTACATCAGGGGCTGAAAACCTCTGTAGCAAGCAGAGATGTCTGAGAAACCAGAGAGCACTCCCTGCACCCACAGTATTCATTTCTTCATCTAGTCCACATATTCTGAACACCTACTATCTAGGAAGTAAATCAGGACTTGCTAGACAGCAGGTGTTCAGAAAATGTGGGCTAGATAAAGAAACAAACACTCTGTGACTGAGGTAAAGGAAGCCATCACTGCTTACTTGAATTTGAGCCAGGACAGGAGTAAAACTGACCTTTTGCTGATCCCCTGAATGACGGACTTGCATCCCTCCCGACTATGGACAAGACTGGCCCGGAACTGGAGCTAGCTAGAGCTTCATGTGGGTGGGGGAAGGGACAAAAAGGAGAGAAGCTGGAGACAGTGTAGTGGGATGGAGGGGACCAACAGCTCATTACAGATCAGGGACAGTGGGGGAATCTCAAACACATTAATGACTACTAAACCTTATTGAAGATATCCTGTCTTTATTAAAGTGTCCCATCTTTATGTAAGTGACTCCCCCCCCCCATCACTACAGATGATGGTGACTTTCTAGGAAATAGGAGAGTAGTCAAGTTTTTAACAGAGGTAGGGTAAATGAGGCCCCTCAAAAGTGCAGGGAAGAAGGAGAGGGGGTCAAGTTATGAACAGAGTTGGGGTTAATGAAGCCCCTCAAAAGTGCAGCTTGCTGCTTCTCCCCACCAATTCCATTCCAGACCCCCACTGTCAGAAAGTCTTCTCTCCTCCCATCTCAAATCATATTACATCTCATTGTAGAGCCTTGTAAGGTTCTCCCACGTATCTGAGCACTTCCACATGGACAAAGCATTTTATATCTTTAACGCCCTCTCTCTTGCTGGGGACACCCCATCCCTGTGGCTTTAGGGGGAAAGCTGATCTTTGACAAGAGGCCTCATGCTTGGCCAATGTGGAAAAGCCATTTAACTGTAATTTTAGCAAAGAACCCAGGACGCCAGATTCCTTCTCCTGTGTTTTGGCCGTCAGTGCCGCTGAGAATCTGCTAGACTTGGTCCCTGAACTCTGAAGATCCTCCATTATAACGCTTCCCAGGGATTTTTTGCTTTGCTTCTAAAACTCTGTCTTCTAAACTTCCCCTAAATTCTCTGCCAGTTCATACGCCATGGGTGAGAAGCCTAGCTGTATGGGACCCCACCCCAACCACCATCTTTCAGCCAGGCAGACCCCAGAATCCACCCTGAGTGGAAAGAAGCTGAAATCTGAGAAACAAAAACAAGAGACCCTGTGTACCCAACGGCAAAGGAACAGCCTGGTCTCCCACCTCTCGCCCTTCAAGGGAAACCCCTGCTGCATATGTGAAGGCAGAATCATGGACAAGGCTCACAGGGTGGGCAAAGAAGCTAATTTAAGGCTGCAGCTAGAGAATGTGGGGAATCATGAGGGGAAGGGGTGTGGGACTAACATGGGCAAGGGCAAGCTCATTACTATGGAAAACCCTTTGGAGATCACCCAGTCCTCTCGTTTTCAAACTTTCCAAAAGTAGTTAAGCCTTTTTTCGTACAAACATCTTGAATGGAACTCCATGTAAAGTAAAGCTGTTCTGATTGAAGCAAGAGGAGGCAGGAGGTGGAGGATAAGCAGGAGACAATCACTTGCTTAGTCTACTTTCCAAATCCAAAAGTCCCTGAGGCACCTAAGCAGAACTTTGGGGTCCTGGGTTTCACTACGATAAACGAATGATCTTGCCCAAACCCTTAGTTTTATAAAAGGCAAAACCGTATAATTTGCCCAAGATCTCCACTGAGTCAGTGGCACCACCAGCGCTAGACGTTGACACTACTCCCAATCCAGGTTTCTCCTCTACCTTCCCACCAGCTAGCTGGCACCCTCGACAGGCTCTGGGCCCACCCAGGGAATCTTAGACGGAGCTACGGAAGGAGAACTGCAGGTAGATGATCAGCAGCAGGACCGTGGCCCAAAACAAGCACCACGGGAGAGAGCAGAAGTTCCAGCCTGAGCCCGTCTCCTCCTGCGGCTTGGCGGGGCTGGGCACCCGGGAGAAGGTGTAGGTGGTCGCCTCCTCCTCCAGCAGCTTCTCGCTGGGCTTCCAGTGCACAATGCCCTCCTGGCAGGCCTCGCAGAACTCCCCGCGGTGCCGCCGGTTGTCCTGGCGGCTGGCCACGTGGATGCGGTACTGGCCGCCGCGCTCGCCATAGCACTGCTCGCGCAGGCTGGTGATGAGGTTGTCCACCAGGCCCTCGATGTTCTCCTCCAGCATGCTGGACTCGTCCAGCCGCGCCGTGCCGCACTCATAGCACAGCTGCTTGAAGACGCGCATACGCACCGAGCCAGCCCGCTGGGTGCGGTCCAGGAACATGTGGAAGAGGATGACCAGGTGGGGCGACTGCCAGGTGTGCCAGCACCAGGAGCAGTGGAACCTGCGGAGACGGGAGGAGAGGGAGGAATAGAAGACGGGGGGAGGTGGTGGAAACAGCCCCAGGAATGGGGTGAGGGGACCTGGGGACTAAGCAGAGCCTGGAGGTGGAGGCAGTGTTGCCGGCACCCTGCGTTCTTTAGCTTTCCCCAGGAAGCCACTCAGCCTGGCAAGTGCCTCTAGCACTGAAGCAGGCTCCTGAGAATGCCACCTGGCATCCAGCAGTGCTCTACCTCCTCAGTGCTTTCCAGAGGCCTCGACTCTCTCCACCCCAGCGCTGGGCATCATTCCTATTCCTCATCTGCAAGCTGCACAGCGTACACTAGGTGAGTCCTTCCTGCTCACACCAGACAAGAAACTCAAAATCCGTCTGCACATTTCTATCTGTTAACACTGACTGTGAACAGGCTAGATCCAAATCAGGAGAAAATGATGCCATTACTAGCTATCAGCATCCAGGCCAGTGCCAGAGTTAATTCATCACAAGGCCTGGAGGTGGAGGCAGTCTGTGCCCAGAGCCCCAAGGGTTGTAGTCTCCCAGGCCTGACAGGGCCAGCTGGGGATCACAGGTCCACAGCCAGGTCTGGAGCAGCCACGTGCCCTCCCCACTCAGTCCTGACAGCCTGCCAGGTCTTCAGGAAGCTGCTGAGTCCCACCTGTACTTGTCCAGCCCTTGACACCCCTCCTGTCAGCCAATTTAGGAGCTTCACATTTTTATTCTCTTCTGTTCACTCACATCTTTTGGGGATTGTTTCTTCCTCTCAGGTCAGACTACAAAACCTGGATTGAAAAATGTCTTAACTGGAGGGACCTGGAAATCATCTACTTAATCTTTTGTTTCATGCTGAGACAGAGAGTGAGAGAGGCATCTATATACACACAGCTAGAGGCAGAACCAGTGGAGACAGAACAGCTAGAGGCTCAGCACATAACAGGTGCCCAGTAATGTTTCTTGAATTGATGAAGTGAATTGACTGAACCAGGGCAGGCAGGAAAGCCTTGCTTCTGACTCCGAGGCTGCACCTCTCAGCCTCCCCATCTTATGTCCCAAAGGTAAGCCCGTACACTCTGGACCCATGAACAAGAGTGCTAGAAAATCATCTCAGAAGGTTTCTACATGGTAATCTCCTAGAACTCTTCTTAAAATCAGATTCTGATTCAGGTCTAAAAGGGGCCCAAGAGTCTGCCTTCCTAACAAGTTCCAGATGTTGCTGACGCTGATACTGCGCTGTGGACCTCAAGTTAACCTCTCACTGTGCAAATGGAGAAAGCCAGGTCCAAGAAGAAAATCAAATTCCTCAAGGGCCATGGAGCCAACAGCAAAGCCAGTTTCTGGCACACCTCATCTATTCAATATTTGAAATAAAACTAAGTCTAGTTAAATAGATTTAAACTGGTCCCAGGACCAGAGCACAAACCTCTCGACCTCCAGTGAGCCTTACGCCCTCCTTCTCTGGTTTTAAACTACTTTTTAAGAGACTGTTAAAATAGAAAATATGTAAAATGTCAGTGTGTAGGACTAATAATTACATTCTATGTCTTTATTTTCCAGATGGAAAAAATTATGACTCAGAGAGAAAGAGTAACACAGGTGATCAGTGAAAGAGCTGGAATCAAACTCAGATATCCTAGTTCCCAGAGAGGGACTCTTTCTCTGACTTCCAGTCTACGCCAGTCTAATAGTGAGATTGAAGCTAAACACTTGGGTTCTATGTAATCTTTTCCTTGGAAGGTGCCCCAGGGCTAGAGACCTAGAGGCTGCCTGCAGGGTTCTTACTTCCTGGGCTACTCACCTGCCTGAAGCATGCACCTCCAGGTACTGCTTCCAACCAGGGCCCAGCACATTGTGCTTGAGGTTGGGGTCTATGATGAGGTCCCAGCTGTCAGCCGGCTTTGCCTCCTCCATCTTCTCATAGAAGATTTTCTTCCACTCTTCTGTGGTCACGCTTTTACACATGGTCTCGTCAGTAGTGAGGGAGGGCAATTTCCACCTTAGTGAGAACACGGAGAGTGAGGGTAGATGCAGGGCAGGGCAGCGCAGTCTCCACGGTCTAAAAATCCTCATCGACAGGACCAGGAGGAAGCAGGACCCAGCTCCCTCCTTTGTCCGCAGTGGAACCTGTTTCCACGGCAACCAGGCAGGGCGCCAGAAGACAGAGCTTGGGAAGGAGGGAGTCTCCGAAGAGGTGTTTCAAGGCCCTGAACTGAGATTGCAGAGGAAGAGTTTATGTGTCTAAGTGATCCAAGACAGGGTGGGGGACCGGACCAAAGGTTGAGCTTCAGACCATCTCACCCCGGCCTGCAAAGGGTATGGAGAGGTGAGGACTTGGGAGCTGGCTCAGTTTCACCTTGCTGCCCCCTGGAGACATCATCAGCATCTGGCTGCTATGGTAACCATGATGCCTTAGGGAACCGAGGAGAAACAGGGATGGGGAGATATAAATGTGTTAGATGGAGCAATAATAAGAAAAGCTCCCTTGGCTTCCCCAGCCATCTTGTGATTAGCACTTTGCCATTTTCAAAACAAAATTGGAGGTCTCTTAAGCTACGATGACTATTGCCGCAGTACAGATCAGGAGCCTAAGACTCCCCTAGCCTATAATTGGCAGAACCTGTATACAAATTCACACTTTTGACCCCAGACCAGTTCATTAATTCATTCATTTAAAACATGTTCAGGCATGTAGGTAGGGTTTGCAGACATGTGCCAGGCTTTATGTCAGTGCTGGGAGCTGACTATGTACCCAATAAATGTGCAATAGGACCCAGGCTGTAACGGCCTTGTATAAGACCAGCCACCTGTGCACAAAGGTAGGAGCCATTGCGTCAGCCGGGCAGGAGTAGACAAAATTATTTGCTAGCTGATGATAGAAGTGCGGAAGAAGAGCATCATCCACAGGCACAACAGTCTTTACTATACATGCCTCTCCTGCTATTTTTAATCAATTATTTTTCTTTTTAAAAGGTCATATGTGTTTATCCTAGAAAAATTATAAAATACAGATGAAAGAAAAGTAAGACTCTTCCATAATACTCCACCCAAGATGACTACTGTTAACATTATGATATGTACATCTTGCTTACCATTTTTGTACATGTGGATATGTGTGTGTAAATACACACATATTCTACATGCCACATACATTCTACATACCACATTGTAACATTTTTTAAAAACATATCATGAATATTTTTCTAGGTCATAGTCCATAGTAGTGTATTATAGGCTACCTATATTCTGTTATATGGATAGGCATAATTTATTTAGCCCATCCTGTATTTGAGGGCATTTTGGTTTTATTTCAGTTTCTCACATTACACTCTTGCCATCTATTTGTATAAAACTTGTTGACGAAGCTCATTGCAAGCATTAGAGACAACACTTCCTACAATTGAAAAACACATTTCTTCACTCCGCTCTCTGCGAAAGCTTGGTGTAGCTAGCAGAATCTGAGCAGGCTCTTCACACAGTATGAATTGTGGACAGCCAGCCATTCTTGAAGTTTAGTGATGAAAAAGTAGGACCTAAAAATCACCCATCTGATGCCAGAAACTGTCTTCCAAGTGCTCCTCCTGCCACTTCATAAATGGCACTTCATAAATGCCTTCATTTACATTATTTTAACCTCAGTTTATTCATCTTCTCAATGGGATAATAACAAAACAGTATCTGCAGTGATTAAAAGCAGGGGCTCTAGAATGACTGGCCTGGTTGCTTTTTGTTTGTTTTTGTTTGTTTGTTTGTTTGTTTGAGACACAGTCTCTGTTTCCAAGGCTGGAGTACAATGGCACGATCTTGGCTCACTTCAACCTCCACCTCCCAAGATCAAGCAATTCTCTTGCCTCAGCCACCAAGTAGCTGGGATTTCAGGTGTGCGCCACCACATCCAGCTAATTTTGTACTTTTAGTAGAGATGGGGTTTCACCATGTTGGCCAGGCTGGTCTTAAACTCCTGACCTCAGGTGATCCCCCGCCTCAGTCTGCCAAAGTGCTAGGATAACATGTGAGCCACTGCGCCCAGCTGTTTGTTTTTGTTTTTTTGTTTTTGTTTTTTTTTAATTTCCATCTGGCCTCACAGGTAGCAATTCTAATATATGTGATCTGCATCTTTTCATCCTAGTAAAAACATGTGTGAATGTTTTATGTGAACATATTTTTAATTTTCACAGTAACAGCAACCACTATATAGCACTTACTATATAGCAATCACTATACAGCACTTATCTGGTAAGTGCTTAGAAAGCATTGTTCTAGTGCTTTATAAATATTAACTTATTTCTTTCAATAACCACCTTGACAGGTAGGTAATATCAGCAGCAGCTCCATTTTGCAGATACATAAGCTAAAGTCTAGAGTTTTGATAACTTGCTCAGGATTTAATGGCTAAAACTTGGTTGAACTTGAACTTGAACCTATGTGACTGTCTACAAAGCCCCAGCTTTCTCCATTGTGATGCTCAGCATGGAATCTAGAACATAACATCTGCTCATTAAATGTGAGTTTCTTCATAATTCACATGGCCACTCCAGACCCCAAGAATTTCAAATGAAGTTTATATCATTTCAGCAAATGGTTCACTGGGCCACACTGAAGCCACATCTCCCCAGAAGAGGAGTGAGTTGTACTTGACCCACAGGGCTCCCTGCTACTGCTGGGGATGCTGCCTCAGCTGCCAAACTCAATGAAGCAATGGTCTCCACAGAGCCCTGATACTTGCTATAAATATTTTAGAGCTCAGAGAGACATTTAGCTTAAAATCTTACTAAAGAAAATATAGTACAGAAAGTCATCTCCAGGCACAGCAACCCTGTAAAGCCTTAATCATTTGAGGCCAGGGATCTTGGCTCAATGGAAAGAGCACTGAACTGGGAGTCAGGAGAGTCATAACCCAGCTCTGCTCCTGGCTGGCTTTGTGACCTTGGCCAGGTGACTAATTCTCTTGGCCTCAGTTTGTCCATCTGTTCAATGAAGAGTTAGGGTAGATGACAAAGGTAAGGTCCCCTCTGACTATAGTCATATATGGTTTTAAATAGCTTTATACTTAGAAAACTGAATCCTGGGAGGGCAGGAGGTATGATGGAGGCCACAGGATGGAAGAGGGAAGCTTCTTTTGTCTAAAAAACAAAAAACAAAAAACAAAAAACAAAAAACCTTAGAAAATTTATTTAGAAAGTAGAAAATAAAAAGTATGACTCTAACATCTATTTAGATTGTGAACAAAATTAGAAACAGTTAAACTACAGAAAAAAAGGCAGAGATACTGAAGTTAGCTTAATGGCTATCCAATACAAACAAGCAAAATCCAAGTAACTTTCATGCAAATAAGCATTGAAGAAAAGAACATGGCAATGTTTACAGAATGCACCATGGCAAATATTTTTCAAATTTACATAAGAAACTACATAAATGAAAAAATAATTTCCAAGAAATGTTTCACAGGTTATAATAGGCTATAACTTAGTTTATTATAAATAAAATTTGTAGCACATCATACATTTTACATCACAGATACAGTGTTAAAAGAATTTAGACATCATAAAGCTTAGACTTGACAAGAATCATGTAACAGAATAAGGCAACTTAAACTGAAATGGCATGTGTAAGTAAAATTCATCCCCAAATTAAAGGACTCTTTAGGTTGGTACATAATAACATCTTCTGAGTATGATTTGGTTAATAACTGGGCATTAAGATAAAGATCACTTAATTTTAGTTAAAAAGTCAGTTTTAGCTGTAGTTGAAATTAAAAGTCAAAGCACACAGTGTATAAAAAACAATAAAAACCACCTGAGTATCACTACATCCTAATACTATTAATTATATTTGTGATAAGCAGACTAGGATATTGATGTTACTTCTACAAAGTTACCTTCTATTTCTAAATGCTGTAAACTAAACTAAAACAGGTTCCTCAGAAAAGAAATGGCAAGTTCCAAAATGGCTTAGCACCTGTGACAATGACTGACTGAGCCAGGTATGACATCGATGAAATTGAGACATGCAATGTGAAGTTGAAATAATCCAAAATTATTTTACATTATTTATGTGTACTCTACAAATTACGCAAACACAGAAATGTTTTCTTGGAATGCTGTTGGAACTGCAAGCTCCGCAATGTGTGAAAGAAAGAGGTTTAGAAATTTAAAACTTTAATGATAATATCCTACAATTGAATTAGTTGCATATTTATATCATTCAAAATCTTAATTTTAACCTCATTCACTCCTTTGACAAATAAAGGAAGAGGGAAGCTTCTAAAGAGGTATGGCAGGTGGTGCCTGGAGCCACGCTCTGTCTCCTGGGGCCTGCTACATAGCTGAAGATCTCTGGGGAGGTGCCACTCTGCTAGATTTGTACTGAACATAGCAAGAAGGACAGAAATTAAATATATAGAGCCACTGAACATTAACACTGGGAAACCTTTTTTTATAGAGAGATGGGGTCTCGCTATGTTGCCCAGGCTGGTCTCAAACTCCTGGGCTCAAGCAATCCTCCTGCCTTAGCATCCCAAAGTGCTGGGATCACAGGCATGAGCCACCTCACCTGGCCAGCACTAGGGAAAACTTTTAAGTTTTTCAGGACCCTTCCTTAAACATTTAGTCCTTCAAGTCAGTATTCATGCCTCTGAATTAAGGCAATTGACACCTAAATAAATAAACTAATTTAACTAATCTCACAGATACAATGGGAGCTGCCTCAGGTGGGAGCTACTGGCCAAAATGGGAATGCGGACTTTGGACCTTCCCAAAAAAGTACGTAAAGCTGAGAGGAGCTTATAACAAAGAGTGCTACCCAGAACAAATCCTCTAGAACTATGTTACAGTTGTTGCTACAACAAACACTATGATGACAGAACACAGAAAGTAAGAATCACCAGAGGGGTGTGTGTGTGTGTGTGTGTGTGTGTGTGTGTGTAAAACCAGCTGATGCAATCCCCATTGGCACAAATAAGGTTTTATTTAGAACCTGAGGTTGCTATGCAGAGGCCAATATAATGCATCTTTCTAGATAGCAAAGTATTTTCTTTAATAAAAATTTCTATCAAGACACGAAAAAACGAAACACTGTGGTATTGCAACTTACTGTCTATCAAAATAACCTCTAATGCTATG